CCATCTCATAGAGAGTCTTCCCCTCTTGCGCCGTCCCTCCACCTTCCCAAGCATGATGTCCCTCTCCAAGTAGCATGAAATAAATTCAGTATGGGTGTGCAAGGGAGCTCTGATAGTCTACTGGGTAAATAATTACACAAGCAACAAAAAGGAAAGCAGTTCAACTCCAATAGCTGCTCTGCAGAAGAAAGAAGGGCAACCTCTTGGGTAATATCTACCCCCGGAAAACGCACTAGACGGTCAGCTGTGAGTCAACTCTGACTTGATAGCATGTAACATGTTGCACAGAAATCACCACTATTTTTCATCACCTTGCACTCAGTGTCAAGTAAGTAGTCGCTTCCCATTTCCCCTCACCTCACAGGGCTCTGGCGGAATAGTCTGGAGGAAGGTGTACTGCTAGACTACACCTCTCTGGGGGTTCCAATCCTGAGCAGCTCCTTGGGAAAAAGATAAGTAATCTCTTCCCATGCAAGTCACTGCTTAGGAAACCCAATGAGAGTTGGTTCTGACTTTTTTCTATGCAGTTGCTGATCCCAGATTTTCAAGTAAGTAAAACAAAGCCCCCAAAAAATCAATTGTGAAAGAAAAGGACAGAATACTTTTGAAGTCACTTTATTAAGCAGGCATATGTCCGAAAGTACAACTAAAACAGAGAACAAGTCATTTGTGGTCTAGGTGGTAACTGGTTGTACTATCAACAAAAAGGAAGGAGGTTTGAATCCACTAGCTGTTCCAAGGGAGAATGATGAATACTTTCTCATTATGCAATTTACGGCCTATGAAAATTACTAGAAAGTCAGCAATTCGTCAGTTCTGACAAAGCTATAGATGAAATAATTCTCAACAGAATCCTAGTCAACAGAATTTAACATCACATAAAAAAAAAAAGACTTCAGACCCAAGGTGAGATTAATGCCAGGGTATGCAGCATTAGAAAAATAATCAATGTAATATTGCACATAAATAAAACAAAGAACCATATGATTCTATCAATCTATATAAAAAAGGCATTCACCAAAAGAGAACTTTTAAAGAGCAATAAGAATGGAAGGGAAAATTCTCAGAACACTTAAGGGAATAAATACAAAAAAACATAGATTGAAAGTAGAGACACCCTCTTATCACTATATCATTACAGCTATAAAATAATGCATGGAAGGTCTAGTAAGTGTAATTTTTAAAAGTTTTTAAAAAAGAGTAAAAGATATCCAATTTAGCAAGAAAGAAATAAAACTGTCCCTATTTGCATTGTACGATTCCATATACAGAAAATTTCATATACTCAAGAAAACTACTGGAATTGAAAGATTCAGCAAAGTGGCAGGATAAAAGATCAACATATAAAAATCAGTGACATTCTTTTCCAACATCAAAGAGAAAACAGGAAAATAACACGAATTTCAACAACCACCAAAAAGATACTTAATAATAAAACTAGTCAGAGGCAGAAAATACTGACATAAAGAAAATTATAAAACATTACCACAAGAAACAAAGAGAGATCTACATAAAAGGAAGAACACACTTTGCTCACAGACAAGACCTTATATTGTAAAAATGTCAACTACTTAAGTATCTACAGATAGATGTAGTGCAATAATGATCCAGGGGGAAATCAACTACCAAGATCATACAGAAGGGCAAGAGATTTCAGATAAGCAAAGCACTTGTCAAGGACAACAAAGCAGGAGGTCTTACACTCTCTGATTTTAAGATATACTATACAGCCAAAACAGTCAAAATAGGTTGGTATTGGTAAGTCCCAAGACCACAGGTCAGGTATCAGACACAAAGATCAATGGATCAAAGTAGAGATTCCAGAAATAATTCAATCTACTGTGTGGGTGGGAGAGCTGTGAAAACTAGGCCTGGAGCTGATTGTGGAACAGACCACCAACTACTCATATGCAAGTTCAAGCTGAAACTGAGGAAAATTAAACCAAATACACAGAAGAAAAAATATGACTTTGATTTCATCCCACCTGAATTTCAGAATCATCTCAGGAACAGGTTTGAGGCCCCGAACACTAATGAGCGAAGACCAGATCAGTTGTGGGAGGAGGTCAAATGTATCATCAAGGAAGAGTGCAAACAGTCATTACGAAGACAGAAGAGGAAGAAAAGACCAAAATGGATGTCAGAAGAAACTCTGAAGATTGCACTGGAGCGTAGAGAAGCCAAAGCACAAGAATTCAAAATACTAAAGAGCTGAACAGAAGATTCCAAAAGGCAGCTGGGAATGACAAAGCAAAATATTACAATGAAATGTGTGAGGAGCTAGAGTCAGAAAATCAAAAGGGCCGAACTCGTTCAGCATTTCTTAAGCTCAAGGAACTGAAGAACAAATTCAAACCTAGAGTTGCAATAATCAAGGATGCCTTAGGCAGATCAAATTAA